ATATTACACAAAATTCTAATTTTATTTTAGTTAATTATGTATTAACTAGGGTTAAATGTTGATTATTTCGCAAATTTTGGGGTGGTCCTAAACTTTTGGCCAGGGAGTGTAATTATAAAACACATAGAAATATGTTAAATGCTCTTGTAAAAATATCACTACCATTATCATCATAATTGAAATCCCTAACACCATCACAGTTACATTCTTTACAATCATTTCATACATGATCTTTACAATTAATTAAACCTTCACCTTCCCTTTCCCCTTATCACTATCACCATCATCATCATTTTCATCAACATCAACAGCAACAAACGTAATACTGCTATTACTATTATTACTACCATTATCACCATTATCATTACCACCACCACCACCACCATTACCAACAACAATGCCAATATCTCAAAAAAAAAAAGCTAATGCCAGTGCTAAATGCTAATACTAATGCCAATGCCATCTTTAATACAGCGCCAATGCCAAAAAAAGCTGATAGATGTTATCGGTAAAGTCAAAGCCTATATTACCATCACTAAAACCAATGTCAATGCCAATGTCAATGCCATCTTAAAAAAAAAGCTAATATCATTAATGCCATTGCCAATGTTAGCATCAGAGTCTGAGCCAAGCACCAAATACCAAAGCCAAAAAAAAAGCTGATGTTATTGCTGCTGCTAATGCCAACTATAAAGCCAAAAAAGTTGATGTTATTGTCAAAGCTAAAGCCAAAGCTATTGCCATTACCAAAACCAATATCAATGCCAATGCCAAAGCAAAAAAAAACTGTTGTTTGCAGTTATTTTAATTTTAACTTAATTTTTTTTTTTACTATATTACTATCAATGTTTTGCAGCTTAATTTTTTATTTTAAGTGCTGCTGAATTAATTTTTTTTTAAAATAATATTCAATGTGTAAATTTTTTTGATGAAAGAGTCAAAAAATTTTTTTTTCTTTTTTTTATGGATTTCAAAAAAAATTTTATTTTTTAATTATTATCTAATAAATAAATATATATATATTTTTTTAAATTTTAGAAAACTAAACTTGTATAAATATTAATATTTTAAATAAAATTATTTTTACTAATTTATTATAACTAAACTCATAAAATTAATATTTTAAATGAAAATCATTTTACTAATTTTTGATATATAAAGTAAAATTAAGCAAAAGGTTTTAATATAAAGAAAAATATTTTGAGTAAAAATAAAAAAATTTTATATATTAACTAGCATAGCGGACATTTGCATGATTGGCAGTTATACAAAAATGTGTAATATCACGTGATTGCAGATTTTATACAGTTTAAAATAACGATCAATGATGACGAAATCTTGAAAATCATTTTATGTAACAGTAAAAAAAAATTATTCAAATTTATTCTTATATGTCCGTTAAAGCGTTTTGACAAAACTAATTCCACTAATTACATATATTCACATATTTATTCAACTAGCTTTTTCAATCTTTTCGAAGAATACAATGGAAACTTAGCAATAGCAATCACAGAAGAAACTCATTGGACTTTGCATTATTTGTGAAGCAAAAGGATCTGAAACAAAGTTTAGAAGATTCATGGAAGATATTAAATACAAAGCCATACAACACGAAATGTTAGATTCTACCTAGGAACTAAATATTTTTCAATTCTGTCATAAATACTACATGAGCTATATTGTTAACGGTAATGTTAGATCTTCTGATAATGCAAGTAATTCAAAAAGATGGCGAGAATCTGATCAGATATTGGAAAGGATTGGTTCTGATGATGCTAGAAAACCTGAGCAAATAATGAAAGATGTTAACTTGACATTAAAGGTAAGCGGTGAAAAGGGAGTTAGCGAAATTTTTTTATTGATAGCGTTAAATCTATAGCTCAGATACTTTATGCGAGAGAAAAGAAGGAAAAGCAATTACCGATCTATGATTAGAAATTACTCCAGATGGACGTGGAGTCCAAAGATAATAGTCTTACAGCATTCTTTGACATGCTTGAGAAGTTAATAAATCTGAGTAACAGAGGCCTTATGGATCATATAATCTCACAACGACAAAAAGGTCTCTCTTTCTTATGCTATTTCCTTGTGAGAATCGGAAATAAACAAATTAGTGTAATAAAAAAAGACATTGTGATGTTTTTGGATCAATCAAAAACCTCTAATCGAGTTATTAGTATACTAGCTAATATGCAATTAAGTTCTACGTCAAGAGAAAATCGACGTGAAAAAAATATCATATCTTCTATTCACAGAGACAATGTCACTAAAGAGCTTTTAAGGTATCAAACAAATGCGATAGTCATCAATATTGACAATTATCATAATATCTATAGTTTACAGATGCAACAATCACCTCTACTAATATTGTTACCTATATGACTACCGTTCTTGCTATTTCCATACCCACAGCAAGTGCAATCCTGTAAAATGTTATATATAATATGAATCCAAACCAATACAGCATACACAATCCACTACTTGTTGATAGCAATTTCTTAATTTCACGAATGGAACATACTTACATGGCCCTTCTTTCTCAATCATTTAATGATCAGTTTGCAAAACAATTTAAGACTTCAAATGTTGATTTAGTTGATAATCTAACTGTTCATTCCTATGATACAGATGTTCATAATAAGCGAGAAGACCGATAACTTCATAATACTTTATTAATAGATTTCATCAAGCTTAACCTGCATTTAACAGAGGCATATATTAAGGCCATGGAAATATTTATATCCTTTCCAGAATTTCAGGAGTATCTTCAACACAATGTTATTCCATTGGTTGCTGATTGGCCAGACCAAATACACCCTCAGAGAGCAATTATAATGTAACAACAATAGTCAAAGAATTGTCAAACAGGAATTCTAGAATGTGTCAGTTCTTTTATTCTGATTATGAGTCCTTTGCATGTATCTCTCAATAGTCGTGAAACTGTTGTTTTATTATTTCATGATTTTTTTAATTCTGCCTATAAATATATCTTTGAAACAAATAAAAAGCTTGCTAATAGACCTCGTCCTTGGAGAATTAATCTTCTGTTACAGTTAATGTCTGATGCTTGGAAAAATATTGCATCATATATTAAAGAAAAAATTGAATCATCTTGTTTCAATGATGTAAAATACCTTTTACTAAAAACCCTTCTAGATGATACTATTCCTTTAGTTCTGAATATTTATGCAACGATTTTTAGATCAGGCAACTGGGAGGTATATATTGAGGCTTGTGTGAGAGTATGGTGTTTATTTGCTTAATTTAAATGAAGAAATTATAACAAAGCACCATTATTTTTTCTTTCAGATATTTGGTATTGGGAAAGCATTAATCATCCTATTCTTGAAGTTCTAAAAAATCACCTGGTAGTATTTAATGACTATCCTGTAGAGAATTATAATTCATTAATTCGATGATAAACAAGTGAAACAGATACACATGAACAACTTTCAAGAACAGCTCATGTTATTAATCATCTTCGCAATGACAATGTATTTTTAAATACATTTGTTACAGCAAGAAAGTATCCTTATTGTAAAGAAGATTTAATAGGATTAACTAACAAAATATCTAGAGTTATTTACAAAGGTTAAATATAATACTGAAAAAATTAAATGGACAAAAATCAATCAACATGATAAAAATAAGCTTTCATGTTATCTTGCAACTCTTAATATAGATATAGATGAGTGACATTTACCAATGGCTTTTAGTTCAGATTATCTACTAATTGATCTATTAGAAAGATGTCATCTTTATAATTCATGTCAAGTGTTATAATTAATATCTACATCATTTACATTACATATAACAATTTCGCTTTCATGTGATCATATTTATCATCAATATTGTTTACAATATATTGAGAACAAGTGTTTACATTATTTAAAATATATTACAGATGAAATTAATAATAATGTAAAATCTATTATTTGTAGAATCACTGAAAAAAATTCTAAAATTGAAATTGATCAAGAAAATGAAGTTCAATTTGCAGAAAATGATAAACCTGAAGAGTTATTAAAGCAACCATTATTTAATTCTCAAACTGAAAATCAATTTAAAATAGCATTTAATAAATTTATGAAAAATTAATATATTAATTTTAAAAATAAAAATCGCGTAAATTTTATATTAAATTTAATATTAAAACTGGACCAATCAAAATTAATAATTTTAGTGTTAATTAGGAACTGATCGACATAAAAATTGACCAATCACACAAATGTCTGCTATGCTCATTGGGGTATATATCAACATTGGGCTACAGCTTGTACCGGAAATAAGTTTTGCAAACTAAATTTCGAAGATTATATGGCACGAATTATAGTAATACAAATTAAGAAGCACTCTTCATTAAAATATTATCTCTATTGCCTTATGATTTTTTCACACACTTCAAGTAACATATTGAACCGACATAATATACCCAAACTTCCCGAAGCCTCGTCTAATGAAACTTTTCCTTTTGTGAAACATTTCTGAACTGAAGCATTAGATGATGATGAAAGTGAAATATCACTACAACGAGATGTAACGGATACTAACAGACCCTTAAAACCATCCTATATAAATAAGAATTATTTAATTATTTATATAATAGAAATATTACAATCAAGGAGGGTTACTACTTACCAATACTTCTTCATCTTGCATATTATCTTCAGCATCAACAGCCTCACGTAAAGTCTCAATATCCGTGAGGAAGTTATGCGCTTGTTCTAGTTTCTAATTAATTTAATAAAATAAAGCATTAATAATATAAATTCCATCCAATTTGATCATTTATTTTGACAAACCTTTCTGTCTTGTTCTTCTTTTGCGAATGCTCTTCTTTCATTTGCCAATTCCTTACAAACACTATCACGTTCACGTTGAACATCCAATAATTCCTTTCTCAAATGATTCGTTCGCAATTTGGATTTCCTTAAAGATGATTGCAGCTTTATTTGTTCATCAACAATATCAGACTAATAATACGAAAAAAAAAGATGTAAAAAGATGCGATATAAACTATATAAATCGCAACACTATAATAATATTATCAAACCTGCTCAAGCAAATGCAATTCGATCTCTTTATTAAAATGTTGAATTTCTTTCTTAAATGATTTGTTACCCAACTCGACCCTAAAAATCACATAAAGATATGCTCAAGATGATTATAATAACATTCATCAAAAGATAAAAATAATTACTAACAGAAACTCTGTGATAATATCATTGATAGCGTCAACAATTTCACCTTGCGCAAGATCACGATTATTTGTTGTTGATGTTGTATCTATTCATAAAACGATACAATAAATCACATAAATGCAAATCTGTTTAATTCAATAACTCAATAAAATCTTACCGATTTGCTCATCGTCATCATCGTCGTCATTCTCTAACGTCGAAGATGTTGTATCTATTCATAAAAATGATATAATGTTTAGATGACAAGTTCAATAAATAAATTCGATCGAATCAATAGAGGCTTACCTATTTGCTCAACGTTATCATCATCATATTTTCTCTTCGATGACATAATTTCGACAGGTGTTGCATCTGTTCATGAAAACAACAATTCTCAATAAAATTCAACACGTAAACATAAATTCGATTTAATTCTTACCTATTTGTTCACCGTCGTCATCGTAGGCATTCTCTAAAGAAACGAAGGTTCCGCCAGCATAAGTCGATGATGTTGAATAAATGCACAAGTAAAATCATTATCAAATAAATAAAATAATTCTAAAGTATTGCTCACCGTCGTCATTTTCATCGTCTTCTGAAGACACAATTTCGACGGGTTTATCAACATAATTTCTTGGTGTTGCATCTATAAAACGATACAAAACTCAATGAAGAATCCAACATTCAAGTACAATTAAGAGTAAATATTAATTCTTACCTATTCGCTCTTCATTGTCATCATTCTCTGAAGACACAATTTCGATGGGTTTACCAATATTAGTGGTTGGTGATACCTCTATTCATAAAATGATACAAAAGCTTAATGGAAAGATTTAACACACACGGTTTAAATCAATTAAAAATCTTACCTAATTGTCCATCGTCATCATCATTATCGTCGTCACTCATATAAATCTTTGAAGAAACAACTTCAACAATTTTACCAACATCAAGATTATCAATCTCCATTGAACCTGAAGTACTAGTGAGTGAAGGACTAGTAGGTAAATGATTATTTGGAACCTGTGATATATCTTTTCATGAAACATAATGAAAAATTCGATATAAATGCAATTATGATTAGATCAATTTAATTCAATAAAATCTTACCTAATTGCTCGTCGTTGTCATCAATATATTTCTTTGAAGACACGATTTCAACAATTTTACCAACATTAAGAGTATCAATATCCATTGCTGAACCTGAAGGACTAATAGGTGAATTGATAGAATTGATAGAAGCTTGTGTAAGATCCCAATTATTTGAATTTTTAAATGTCGGCGTTGAATCTTTTATTCATAAAATAATATAAATCTTAATGAAATTTAACCAATAAATGCCATTTAATCATAATGAAATTAAAATCTTGCCTATTTGCTCGTCATCTTCGTCTTCGTCTTCGTCGTCGCTGTTTATATCATTGCTTATTTTAACTTTAGGGGGTAAAGTTATTTTAAAATTTCTAAACGTTGTCCTACGAGTTCTATAACATAAAGGAGTATTAAAATCGTGTCAAAAATTTTCCTAAAAAAAAAAAAAAGACAAACCCATGAGTCCTTCTCCTTTCGAGCATACGCTCTTTATATTTTTCAGGAAGGTTAGCAAGTTCTAAGCCTAATATATATGAATGTTAAGTTAAAAGTTCTTTGCGATTAAAATGTATTTGAAAATATCGAAACTTTACTTTGAGACATTGCTTAGGAAGGAACTAAAAATGTAATGACATCACGCGTTATTTATACTGTTCCATAGATAAAAAAAGTCCTAAATTATTTTATTGGTTGATATTCAAATCACGTGATTCAAATTTAGCGACGTTTTATTTTATTTTTTTAAATACATTTTAAATGTTCCTCAATGTTCATATAATGGTTCTTGTTCTTAAGCATGTACAAGTAATACAAGAAAAAGCGAATAAATTTAATAGATAATGAGAAATTGTTTTGAAATTTTATTGATAAAAGACTGTTGGTCATACAAATAAAAATAACAGATTATAACACGAAGTTATTAAAAAGTTTCTTTTTCAAATATTACAGTCAGGGATTTTACCAAAAATGGATGATGTCGATCATCCTTTTATAGTATAGAAATGTCGATCAGAAAGTTCTAGACTATTCTAAAATTTATTATATAATCTTATATATATGCTTGAACCTCTTTTTATAATAAATTTTTTTTATAACTGTACATAGATTAAATTTATAAGATAGCTTGACAGTATAAAGAAATGCATATCACAAAAAAAAAACCTTTTGTATTTATTAAAATCATTACAAAAAGCAATAAAAAAGGGCGTACATTTATTTCTATATGCACTTATCAATTGAATTAATTTCATTCTTTCATATTATTAAAACAATCACTATCATCATGTTTATTATCTGAATTAAATAAAGTCCTTACCTCTTCTAATATAATTAATAATTCATTATGCTTTTTAGACTTTATTTCAAGATACTTTTTTGAACACATTTACTCATTTGTTTAAGAAAAGCTTCAATCTTACAAATGATTTCTGTTTTGGTTATATTTTCTTTGGCATTTTGTGCGACTCCTTCTTATTTGGTAATTGGAATTGGTCTAAAAAAAGAATTTGAACTATTGTTATAAAAGACTTTAGTAATAAATTCCTTTCGAGCTTGCTTTGCTAAACTGGTAAAATTTGTTATCTGTTCACTTTATTTATATTCTTCTTCTAAGTTTTTACAAATAGTTTTTGATTCCATAGGATTAACAAAATTATCTTTTCTTAAACAAATTCTAAATCTTTGACATTCTGTAATTGGTTCTGATCGGATTCTTAGACTACTTATTTGAACATTGTTATATTCAATTAACTTAAAAAAGTTATTTTGTAACTAAATGTTTAATTAAATAATAAATAATTATAAACTTAAATTATTAAATTCAAATACAATAAATTACCTGAAGAAATTTTTTACAATTCTGTACAGCTATTTTTCAATGACATATTTGTGAAATTAGAGGTACTAATATTTTTAGAGTCTTATTTATCTCTTCTAAA